TAATTTTAAAAGGATAAATGCTAATTTTGATTCCTCAATTTTAAGATTTTATGTAATTTTTGTCCCTTAACTTTTTTTGCTCATTTTGGTCCCTCAATTATGAGTAATTTACATTTTTATATCAATGTGCTAAAGAAACTTAATTGACAAAAGAACTAAAAATGTACATTATTCATAGTTCAAGGACCAATATGAGCAAAAAAAAAGTTGAGGGATGAAAATTGTGTAAAATCATAAAGTTGATGGACCAAAATTGATACTTATGATTCTAGTGCTTGTTATATAATATTAAGATATTATTGAATTTTTAAGCACGTACTACTTAATTATGGGAGAAGATCAGAGTTGGATGTATCGTTGTCGAGATGAAATGAGGTATTGGAACAATGAATTTAATGCTGGGGTAGAGATTTTCTTAGATTTTGCATTCTCACAAACAGACTCGATGTTTTGTGCAAAGAATATGATTCGGTGTCTGTGTAGTAAGTGTTGGAATAGAAAATGGCATCATCGACGCAAAGTGCAATCTCATCTTATCTTATCACAAACGGCTTCATGGATGGGTATTTTATTTGGAAAAGACACGGAGAAATTATTTATAGAAAACGGTGTTGCACCCAAGTGGGTGAATCATCAAGTGTCGCTGCTGCTGCTGCTGCTGCTATGAATAATGTTCCAAGTGTCGATCAACTCAAAGACATGCTTCATAATGCCATGGGATCAAATTTTTTTAATAATGAAAATAGTGCCACAGGGGTAAAAGATGCAACACAATTTGATGCTAGTTTTGATGATCCATATGGTGTCAGTACATAATCGATATTTGAGGAGCCAAGAGGAGATGCAAAAGAGTTCTTTGATCTTTTGCGAGTAGCTGATACACTTCTTTTTGAAGGGTGTGATGATGGTGTCACTGTCTTAAAGTGGGTGTGTGAGCTCATGAGTGCAAAAACACTTTTTAACATGAGTGTTATTAATTGGGACTATGTGTTAAAGCGTAGTCTAATGGCCTTCAAAAAAGTTGATAAGGAGAAATTGCTAACAGATTATTATAGTGCCAAGAAGATGTTAAGGCATCTGGATCTCGAGTATAAAAAGTATGATGTTTGTGTGAACAATCGCATTTTGTATTATGAAGAATATGAAAGTTAGTGTTATTTACAGTGCCCGTTATGTGAAGAGCCCGATTTAAGCAGCGTGATGTGCATTCTGCTACGCCTATACCAAGAAAGACTTTGTGGTATCTTCCTATTATTCCTAAACTTCAGAGATTGTATATGTCTAGGAAAATTGCCGAGCATCTGACTTGGCATTTAAATTGTTATAATGAAAATGAGAAAATTTTTCATCCTGCATGTGGAGAGGCGTGGAAGCATTTTGATAGCAGTCACCCTGAGTTTGCTAGGGAATTGAGGAATGTTAGGTTAGGTCTGTGCACTGATGGGTTCACTCTTTTTGGAAATTCTGCATCTCCATACTCTTGTTAGCCAGTATTTATGTCAGTTTATAACCTGCCTCCAATAATGTGCATGAAGTAAGAATATGTATTGCTTTCATTGATTATCCAAGGTCCCTAAAGTCCTGGAAAGAATATTGATGTCATGCTTCGACCACTAATCAATGATTTAAAGCAGCTTTGGTATTCTAGAGTCGAAACTTATGACAGCTTTAGGTGTAATACTTTCTGATGAGGGCTGCACTTATGTGAACCATTAGTGACTTACCTGGGTATGGAATGTTGTCTGGGTGGAGCACATATGGTAAATTAGCTTGTCCCTATTACATGGAAAATTCGAAGGCCTTTTGGTTGGAACACGATTGGAAGACATCATTTTTTGATTGTCACCAACAGTTTTTGCCACCAGATCATCCATTTAGAAGAAACAAGAATGACTTCATAAAGGGTCATACAGAGAATGGAACAATGCCAGAGAGATTGTTTGGTGATGAGATGCGCAGTCGCATCCATTGGTTGCCTAATGTACTATTTGGTAAGCCACCTCAGAAACAGGAAATCCACGGATTTGGTGAAGTGCACAATTGGGTTAAAAAGAGCATCTTTTGGGAATTACCATATTGGCACACAAACTTGATTCGACACAATTTAAATGTCATGCACTATGAGAAAAACTTTTTTGACAATATCCTTCATACAGTAATGGATGACCCTATGACAAAAGATAACATAAATGCAAGACTTGATCTGGAATTGTATTGTAAAAGAAAAAGTCTGCACATACCGAAAACAGGAGTAAATTTGGGTAAAAAGCCAAAGGCCACTTATGTTCTTAGTAGGGATCAAAGAAAATCAATATGTCAATGGTTGAAGGAACTTAAATTCCCTGATAGATTTGCCTCCAATATATCTCGGTGTGTCAATACACAAGAGGCATGATTATTCGATATGAAAATTCATGACTGTCAAATTTTCATGCAAAGCTTTGTACCAATTGCATTTCGTGATTTATTACCGAAATAAGTCTGGGAGCCACTTGTTGAGATTAGTGAGTTTTTTAGGGCCTTGTGTGCTCCGGTGATTTAGGTCAATGACATGGCAATATGGCAAGAGAGGATAGTAGAAATCATTCGTAAGCTAAAGCGAATCTTTCCACCTTTATTCTTTGACAGTATGGAGCATCTTGCAATCCACCTTCCATACGAGGCTCATGTAGGAAGACCGATGCAATTTCGATGGATGTATCCATTTGAGAGGTAAATATAATTAATGTATAATGTATGAAAATAAATATAACTCCATATATGATATTTTGTTGCATTGAGGTTAGAATACCAATTTGGTACTTCAACTTTTAATTTTATATCAAAGCTACCATTGAACTTAAAAAAGAATTCAAAATAATCCTTTCAAGGACCACTTTGAAACTTTTTAAAATTTTGAGGGTATATTTGATAAAAACTTAGAAGTTGAGATACCAAATTAGTATTTTAATCATAACATAATTATATAATAATTCTTGGTGAATCAAACGAATGCATTGTCTTAAGTTGACGGTAAAAAACAAAGCATGTCCTAAAGCATCCATATGTGAAAGTTACATAATGTCTGAAATCACAAATTTTATCTCTCATTACTTTGATGATGGAGTTCATAGTACAGTTGATAATCCCCCTAAGAATATTGTTGTTCGATTTGGTGATAATAGTGGCCTATCCATCTTTAAATGTGTTGGAAAACGTACTGGTTCCAAAATTGGAAGATGTTGCTTGATGGTAGAGGAACGCAAAGCTGCTTTGTATTATATGTTAATGAATTGTGAAGAATTGTGAGGATGGGTCAGGTAAGAAACCTACATTAATATCTTTAATTTTTTATATTAAGATTTATTGAAATTAAAATCCTATTAATATATAAAAAAACTATTGTCATATTTTCTAGTTTATTTGAGAGAGAATAATGTCAAAATATGAATCCTCAACAAATTCAAGCAAAACGAGAGAGAGACCTTGTGTCCTGGTTTGAACAAACTGTGAGCATTTAATAATATGATTGTTCAATTCCTTAACATATATATGTTATTTCTCTTCAAATGCATCTAACATTTTCTTCTACAATATATATATTTTAGGTAATTAGCGATGAGTTCATTAATGTCCATGAGCATATCAAATGTTTATCCAACGGTCCAAAAAATTATGTTTCTTGCTATAATGGATATATTGTCAATGGATTCCGATTTCACACTGCCCACTATGGTAAAAATAAGCGAACAATGAATTATGGTGTCTGTGTTGTTGGATCTATTGGTACTGAATTAGATTATGATTTTTATGGTGTGCTTCAAGAAATAATTCAGATTGAGTATTATGGATCGATCCATCGACAGGCAGTTGTTTTATTCAAATATATGATTGGTACGAGATTCCTCCTGCTCAAGGGGTTCAAGTGAATCAAAAACATCGATTGGTTGGCATTAATCCTAGAAGATACCTTCGATCTTATGAGCCTTTCATTCTTGCTAGTTAGGCAAGGCAAGTTTATTACACACCATACCCATCTATTAATCATGAAAGAAGGGGATGGATTGCTGCACTTAAAATTAAAGTTAGGAGTATCATTAAGGCTCTTGAGAATAAAGATGACTAACACGAAGGATTGACACCATATTTCCAAGACAATGAGCCTCCTATTCCTCAACAAATAAATGTTGATGACATTGCTTATGAACTTGTGCAATATTCTGATGGGAGGTTTATTAAAATACATGAAGAAGCTGATGTTGGGGAGGGGATTGGGGAAGAGGATGAAGAAGGAGAATGGGAAGATTTTGAGACATCAGAAGAAAAAAACATAGAAATATATGTTGAGAAGAATGATGGTAGTGATAAGTAGGCCATAATATTGAAACTATTGAAACTTATTATTATATTTATGGTTACTACTTGCTTGTTTGTACTTTTATAATTATATTAGTTGTATTATATGTTATTTAATTTAAAATTATATAATGTTAATATTACTTTCAAGTTAATATTTGTTTATTTATACTTCTATAATTGTGTTAGTTGGAATAAAATTTATACGTTTATGTTTTTATCATATTATTAATTTTTTATATTTTTTGTTAATATTTATATAATTTTTTTATTTATATTAGTTATACTGTATGTTATTCAACTAAAATATAATTTGATTATTATTTACTTATCTATAGAAATTAAAACTATTGCATTTAAATTACTTGTATTAATGATTTATTTTGCATTTGTTATATTTTTTTTTTACAGTGGATTGATGTAGTTCTCATTGCACGGAGGTTGTTGAATCCACCCAACCGCTGCAATGGCCAAACCCGTTTGACCCCCAGAGATGAGTTCAAGAGGAGGTTCTTACTGATGTGGTTTTGGAGACTCCAACTTCATATGCTGATATACAGGCCAAGTCTCCCAGTGATGAGGATACACTTGTGGCTACCCCCCAATAGAGACAGGGACGGGGGCAAGCTAAGCCCGTGCAGATGCCTACAGATGGGACAAAGATCCCATTAGAGCTAGATGAGTATGGCGGTTTGCCACAATAGGTCAAACGACAAATTGTGATCCAGTTGCGGGAGAATCTCCCAAATGCTTACACATCTTGGGGACAGGTCCTTCGTGAGTATCGGGACATGTATTGGAATATATTTAGTGTATGCCATAAACACTTAATTTCTATATACAAATTAGATATTTTCAATTTCTATCTTCAAATTTTAAGTAATTTGAAATTTTTTTGTTATTATCATTAATATTTTTTTATTAAATTATTTATTTATTTATATTTCTATTATTTTCAGCAAACATATGAATGGGATCCTGTGATTGATAAGATTGTAAACAATTTATGGAATGTGATAGCAAGGATCAAGTTCAAGCATGCACTTAGTGAGTTGAAAGCTAAGTGTGCAAAGAGAAACTTTCAAGTTAAACCTCCAGCTATGAATCTAGAGTTATGGGCGAGGTTTGTTCATTTATGGACTGAGGTAATAGAGTAAATTCATGTGTTTATTATTATTTATTTTGTAATTTTCAATTGTAATGTTTAATGTTTTTATCATATTATTAATTAAGAAAATATATGTGTTCACCACTTTTACAGGAAAAGGGTCATTTGAGAAGGTCAAGTTCTGAAAGGGCTAATTAAGCAAAAAGACCGAGGGTGACACATACCAGCGGTTCAATGGACATTAATGTTTATAGAAAGAAAATGGTATAAAAGTTAATATATTTTTAGAATAATTAATGAATTATGATTTATAATTTATCTTATATTGATTTTAATATTTTCTCTTCTTTTTTTTTTTCTTTACAGCAACAAGCAAACCCTAAGGGTCTTCCACCGACATTTCCTGAGGTCTACATCAATAGAAGGTAGCACAAAGGAAAAGGAAAAGGAAAAGACCAACTGCCTGTATATTGTAATGATGAGGCTCAAGAAATTGGAGTAAGTACTTAACAATTTTACTTTAAATTGTGTTATGAATTAATTGAAATTATTTTGGTTATAATATTGAAACTATTGTACAATATAGTTACTAGTAGAAAGTTAGAACTTCATCCTTTTAGGGGAGATTAAATTGAATTTAGGTGTCTAAACTGATATTTTAAATTTCACTTTAATTTTCAATATAATTAATTAATTATTTTGTCTTATATTATTTTAGGAAAAATTGAGAGCTAAATATGCTGCTAGGCAAGAAGAAGAAGGATTTGACCCTACAATAGCTCATGGTGAGTTATTACTTAGGGCAATTGGTGGGGTCCAGAAAGGATGGCTAAAAGGTTTGGAAATTCACACACATCCACAGGATATAGGTGTAAGCACATCTAGAGGGAACCATTCAGGCCACCCATCATAGAACAGTCTATTAGATTTATCAAATTAGAGTAGACTGTTGAATCATTGAAGGTAGATAATAATAGCCTTCGATAATCACAGATGACCCTTATGGCAAATAATGAAAGCCTACGGCAGTAACAGTTGACCCTTACTGCACAGATGCAGCAACTCTACCAGCATTTAGGGATGACCCCAACAGATACCAGTGGAACAGTCACCCTTATGACACCTCGAGATATTTAGGTTTTTCATATTTGTATTTACTTTATATTTGTAGTATAACAAAATTTTCTAGTATTTTATATGATAAATATCATAAATTATGTGAAAATAATTTCACATTATCAAATATTTTAATTTAAATATCAATTAAATCCTTTATATGTAAGAAATATCGAACTAAATGAAATACTTATACACAGATTGGTTTCAATTCGTATAACAACCATAATAAACACACAAATGGCTGAGTGTCTGCTGACCCAAACTAGTATATACGGACCGATACCAGTCCATATAGAGGTTAAGCTAGTTGCAAAATTCTCACAGCCGGCTCAATAAAAAGAACAGAATGTTCGAAACAGTTCAGCACCAGTCGGCTTTCATTCCCCAACTAGCTCACTTGACCCAAACTAGTATATACGGACCGATATCGCTCCATATATAACCTGTGAACCTCAAGGCCAGTTAAGCCGATTACAAAATTTCTACAGCTAGCTCAGTCCAAAAAAACAAAATGTTCGAGGCAGTCCAGCACCAATCGGCTTTCATTCCTCAGTCGGCTCACAACAAAATAGTATATACGGACCGATATCGATCCGTATATATCCCTATTAAGATATATGGACTGATATCGGTTCGTATACACAAGAAAGACCCAACATAGAGCCTCAACGGTATATGCGGATCGTTATCGATCCTATATATCTTCGTCAATATATACGGACCGGTAATGATCCGTATATACTGGGACAATCAATGGCTAGCCCATATATATACAGACCAATACTGGTCCATATATATTGTGAGGTGAGCCCACATATATACGGACCAATACCGGTCTGTATATACATGTAAGATTTGTGTTATACCGTTTTTCCTTACCTATATACAGACCGATATTAGTCCTTATTATATATATATATATAGGATGGGTTTTGGTTTGAATATATATCAACTTGCAGCTTTTTCACTGTTTTCCTTATCTCATGCTCAATTCATTATACTCTCGTTTTCAACCATAACATTCCAAATGTTTGCGTGCCAAAGTGGTTAACCTTACCCAAAAAAATCAAGTTTAGTTGCTTGTAGTTCTGAAAGAACATTACCTAACCTTATATCTAATAACCTTATACTTATACATTCATAGTTTTGCAATGATATTATCTTGTACCATTGTTAGATAATTTCAGGTAGACAATCAATGGTTCCAGGGTTCCAGGGGACTGAAGTGTCGATGTACACGCAATTGGTTTTCATAAGAACGGATTTAGGACGTGGGAAGATGGTGATGTCCTTAAATGAAAAGAATAAAAAGGTGCACAGGGAGAAGTTTCTGGATTTTTTGCCATATATTCGAACCAAAAACAGTCTACAAAGGTAAAAGCGTAGAAGCTTCTAGATTATGGGCATATATTTTGACCAAAACCTATTCGTATATATCTTTATACCTAATTTAATTTATTTTTATAATTAAACAACTATGGCAGACATATATACGGACCGATTTTGGTTTGAATATATACCAACTTGCAACTTTTTTGTTATTTTCCTTATCTCATGCTTAATTCGTTATACTCTCATTTTCAACCATAACATTCCAAATATTTGCATGTCAAAGTGGTTAACCTTACCCAAAAAAATCAGGTTTAGTTGCCTGTGGTTAGGAAAGAACATTACCTAACCTTATATCTTAATAACGTTATACTTATACATTCATGATTTTGCAACAATATTATCTCGTACCATTGTTAGATAATTTCATGTAGGCAATCGATGGTTCAGGGGTTGCAGGAGACTGTAGTGTTGATGTACACGCAATTGGTTTTCGTAAGAACGAGTTTGGGGCACGGGAAGATGGTGATGCCTTTAAATGAAAAGAATAAAAAGGTGCACAGGGAGAAGTTTCTAGATTTATTGTTATATATTCGGACCAAAAACGGTCTGAAAAGGTAAAAGCATAGAAGCTTCTAGATTTTGGGCATATATTCCGATCAAAACTGGTCCGTATATATCTTTATACCTAATTTAATTTATCTTTATAATTAAACAACCGTGGCAGACATATATATGGATCGATTTTGGTCCAAATATATACAAACCTGTAGCTTTTTCATTATTTTCCTTATCTCGTGCTCAATTCGTTATACTCTCGTTTTCAACCATAACATTCTGAATGTTTGCGTGCCAAAGTGATTAACCTTACCCAAAAAAATCAAGTTTAGTTGCTTGTGGTTTCGAAAGAACATTACCTAACCTTATATCTTAATAACCTTATACTTATACATTCATGATTTTGCAACGATAATATCCCGTACCATCGTTAGATAATTTCAAGCAGGTAATCGATGGTTTCGGGGTTCTAGGAGACTGTAGTGTTGATGTACACGCAATTGGATTTCGTAAGAATGGATTTGGGGCACAGGAAGATGGTGATGTCTTTAAATGAAAAGAATAAAAAAGTGAACAGGGAGAAGCTTCTGGATTTTTTTGTTATATATTTGGACAAAAAAACGGTCTGAAAAAGTGTAAGCAGCATATAATATACGTAATTTAATTCATCTTTATAATTAACAAACTGTAATTGGCATATCGATCCGTATATATTTTCCATATATATATATATATACAGACCGGTTTTGGTCTGACTATAACCAATTGTTGTTTCAACCCCTGCATCAAAATTTCAAAAAATTATCTAATTGATTAATTATTTTCGGACCGTAATTGGTCTGTAGGGTTTTGCCTCTAGAAAATTTCACCGAAAATTAAACTTTTTCAGGATTGGCGCTTAATTATTTATTTATGGACCGAAAATGGTCTGTATATTTTTGCCACCAAAATTTCACTGATAATTAAACTTTTTTGTTTTGTAGTGGTAAAGTTTGGACCAATTTCGGTCTGTAAATGTTTACCGCCTAAATTTTCAACAAAATTGAAGCTCTCTGTTGGGCAGTTATCTGGCACTAATTTCTTATATTCAGACCATTTTCGGTCCGTATAAAACCTATATATAACCAACTTCCTCTCATTCCTTTCCTCATTTTTTTGATTTCTCTTTTTCTTCTCTTTCTTTTTCTTCTTCCTCTCCTCCGTTTTTGGGTGTTCCTTCCTTTTCTTTCTCATTTCCTTTCTTTTTGCTCTATTCCTTTTACTCTTTTTCCTTTTTTCTTACTCTTCCCCTCTCTTTCCTCTCTTCTTTCTCTACACTTCTTAATATTCCTTTGATTTTTCTTACTTTTCCCCTCTCTTTCATGTTTTCTTCTCCTTTGATTTTTCTATTTTTTACAATCTTTTTTATTCCACTCTCCATTTTTATTTTTGCTCCATGATATGTTATAAATTTTTTTAAAGTTTTATAATGTTTTTAATATTGGTATATTTTTATTATTTATATTTTATTTACTAACTTCTTCTTCTTCTTTTTTGTAGGTTTCATATTA